GCAAAACAAGCAGACCGATCGTCTATCCACGGAGATTAACCGATAAGTTGGGAGGGTAAGTTATCTCTCTCATTTATAAAGCAGAAACTTGTGTCGGTTTGTCGGTTTGTGTGTATGTCGGTATGTCGGTATGTCGGTGTGTCCGTCCGCAAACGTTTGTGATTATGATAAAGGTAGTGATATGGAAAACCCATTCTCTCAACGAAACTCTCACATTTCCCTCTTCACATGCAGTGCCAACCAACTGCGGAATATACAGCTGTTGGTTGGCACTTCCTGAATCCGTGCTGTTCACGTTGGATAGTTGTTCGGTGTCTTTCTCGGGTAAACCACCTGGTAAAACCTATATAGGAAGGTAAGTTATAAAACTAACATAAGAATTTCATTGTACGACAATCACTTCCATTGGATGCCTCTTCAAATCAACAATGGAGGCCCATAGGCGACAACCTCAAAGCAAGTCGTAGGTGGATTCAGGGTTCTCAGTACAGTTGTTGTATCGTGTCCCGCCGCACCACCACGTTTACCTCAGGAAAGGGCTTCTTGAAAGGGCTTCGACGTCAAAAATCAGCAGCTAATCATATGTGTACACAAAACGGTAAACTATAGTTTCACAGTATCCTATCCTACTATATATAATTCGCTAAACGTGTCTATTAGTGGGTCGGTGGTGTGTGTCTGCATGTGTTGTCCGACCGGAAATTCATAACTCCTGTCTCCGTGGACCTAGAACGTTCAAACTTGGTAGGAGTGCGGAGGGCAGGATGGGAACACTTATGGTAGGTGGCGGGACCGCATTCCGTGCACACGAGGCGGGGCGTGCGCGATAGAAACTCCAGGTAGCAAACTCATAACTCCTGTTTTCGTGGACCTAGAGCGCTGAAACTCGTTAGAAGTACAGCCGAAAGGATGTGACTCTTGTAGTGAGTAACAGGGCAGAATCTGCTCGAAGGGAGGCGGGGTTTGCACGAAATAGATGGTTGAGCGGATATTCATAAGTGCTGCTCCCGTGGACCTCAAGAGTCCAAATTTGGTAGGATTATAGCTTTTCGTATTGACAGCGGAAAATGGTCATTTTAATAAGTGATGTAGGATATGATGGGATCGTAGGTACTCGGTGACAGCAACCGATGACAATTGATAAGAGAAGATAAGAGGCTTAAGAGAGCAAGTCAGCTACTGATCAAAATCCTAACCGTTCCGTATTTACGATGTAACTTTGGTCGTTCAGTATGATAAGATATGATATGATCGTTTCATTCGATAATAGGGTGACAAACGTGAGTGGAAAGTGCAGCGATAGGGATCTATTAGCGGCACTACGATAAGCAGATGAGAATTTTGTTCATTTCTTGCTTTTACATCACAACCGCTACCCAGCAAGGTTTGTAGGTTAATGAAGGATCCTCTTTGGTCGATATCATCTGCGACAAAACATGATCGGCCACCAATAATCTGGAATTCTCAACTAATGACATCTCCGTAAAGAACAGGGTTCATTGATAAAGATATCTGATAACGGTGATATTATCAACGTAGAACCGTACCGTACCACTCGAGGCTTTGGTTGCCTAACAGTTAAATCTTTACTGGGTATTTATTTCTAAGAACGAGAGCAAAAGATCGAGACTTCCAATCAAAATCATACGCACTGCCTTACAGTGAAAACCATTCGCAATGCCCTGTTAGTCCTGTGTCAAACTTCAGGAAAGTATTATCTGTTCCAAAGAAAAGTAGAGAGTTAGCTGATTTCTAAAACTTTTTCGAAAAAGGAGGGAAGCTCGGCGTTAGCCGGGCGGACCGCTTGGTTTCTTCAACAATGCAGTTAACTTGTACCACCGCTTCAAAAGTCCATACAGCACCCCTAGAATTTTTGGACCATATCCCTCCAAGAGAGAGTTGTTATCGGATGTCATCCCATCGTCATCCACCCTAATTGCAGGGTGCTGCCGGAAATCTCGAAACACCAGGGGTAGAGGGGCGTATCTGCTGGCTTAGTGATGGTAAAAAAATTTATTGTTGTATCACTATTCCGCTAATCCTAAATTGTGAGGGAGCTCTGAAGATGCCAACCATATACCCAAAAACGTTTCTCAAGCGTTAAGGATGCATATTATGGTAAAGCAAAGCGAATGCAAGCATCGTGAATTCGAATTTGATGTCATGCCCACCAGCCCACCACCCTTGCACAGATTCAGATCTGATTAGTTCGTTAACCCATTCGATACAGTGTATGACACAGGGAGGCACTATTCCCATATTTTTGTATCCAGAATCGTTTAGCATATTTAGAACACAGATTCGAGACAGCGTTGGAAATCGCTTACCCGTGTAAATCTCATCTTGTTTGGCCTCTGTGTCCAAGTATGCTTCCCTTGTTAGAGGCGATAGAGGGAGGAAGAACTGTGCAATCTGCAGCTGCTTCACTGTAATCTGGATAAGATCGTGTTCCGAGCCAACATCAAGGAAATGTGG